GATCATACCTGACAATCTACCACACCCCTCTGGCAGACGCATGAATACATCCTTATCCAAATCCGACTGGACAAATGCTTGCTTGATGTCAAAATGAAGGAGAAAAAGATTTTGCTCACACGCCATCGCTGCCAACAAGCGAACGCTAGAAACCACTACAGTCGGTGCATACGTCGCTCCACAATCTACATGTACTCTCTGCATATCTCCTCTCGCTACGAGTGGTGATTTCACATTGGTTGGCCATCCATACTCGTCAGACTTCCAATCAAACACCCACTTCGCCTTGATAACACTTTCTGGTTGCTACATTACTTCCTCAAAGGTACCAGCCTCCATCAGGCCTCTGAACTCCTTCTCTACAGAGTGTATCCACAAGTCAGCATGTTGAGAGGACACAGCCTCCCTATACGTTTTGGGCACGCGCAAGTCGCTCGCATAGCACTGTGGCAAGTCCGGTGCCACTTCCGGGGGATCTAAATCCCTCATCGCGCGATCAATGTCCTCGCGGGAGGCAAGCAAGGTGGCGCACGCAAATGGGACTTCTTCACGCAGTCCTTCTGTTTTCGTGCCCTCCCGCTCTCGCCCCCCCGGCTCCGCTCCATCACGTCCTCCGGCTGAACTCGGGATCTCCTTCCTCCCCCCATCGACGATGCTGCGAGTGGTTAGAGTCGACAGGAGCGTTGCCTTGTCCTGCAGGGAAACAAGACCGAAGCGGTGGGCGAGAGCGTCGCCGCTCCCGCCAGGCGACGTCGACCGCTCGGCCCCCCCATCCTGGAAATGCACCCCCCGACCCCTCAATCTCCCTGGCACCCGCGTCTCTCGTCCCAAGCCAAGCTCTCGATTGGCCCTGGCAGAGAGGGGCGGCATTGACGACGCCCGCCTTTCATTTTCCGCGCCAAGTATTCACTACGCGCGATGCAGCATTCATTCATGTTTCTTTGAACGTATTTTTTTTCTTATATTTTGGTTTAGTCTTGATGAAGTATATTCTTGAAAAGACGTCTTTTGGTTGAGATATCGGATGTTAGCGAAGTTTGCAGTGAGAAACTGTTGTGAGCAGAGGGGATGTTCGATATACTTGCAGCAGTACCTGGTCGTGAGGATCCCAACGGGATACGTGTTGGGAATTTGATGTGTTGTGGGGTACCATCGGTCGGTGCAGTCACCGGGACCCTTTTGGCGCGGTTGGAATGATGAGGCTTTTGCGTGCATGTTGCGCACTTCTTTCTTCCTTCTCTCCTTCCATCGCTACCACCGCCGTCTCTCTCCAGTCAAGTTTCCTTCTCCCACTCTCTCTCCACCTCTCTCTCAATCTCTCACTCTCGGCCTAACACGGCCGACTACCCAGTGCCCCAAGTAACGCCCAGGACGGGCTTGCTGCACCCCGCGTAGTTTAACCGTTCACACTACACATGTCTTCCTCCAACTCCGAACGCACAAAAGCTTGCTCAATATCGAAATGACACAAGTCGAGTCTCACCGTGATTTTGTCATGAATTTGGCATGAACATTTTTTTTTTTTCGCCTTCCGACAATTGCAGATATACCTCAGAAAACTTTCACTTAATGTATCATACTCTACATGAATATTGAACCAACACGAACAACAACATATATGTAGGACTTATTTCTACTGTCACTTACATCGTAAAAATATCTCCTCTTCAATTTGAAATAAAACCAATGACAATCCTCATGGTATCCTACATGCGTTCGTAAGCTTGCTAAAATACTACTGCGTTCATGTCCTCTTGTAAAAGCATTTATTGTTTTCCTGATGGGTTGTTTATTGGTTTTGCCTTCATTTTCCGCGCCAAGTATTCACTACGCGCGATGCAGCATTCATTCATGTTTCTTTGAACGTATTTTTTTTCTTATATTTTGGTTTAGTCTTGATGAAGTATATTCTTGAAAAGACGTCTTTTGGTTGAGATATCGGATGTTAGCGAAGTTTGCAGTGAGAAACTGTTGTGAGCAGAGGGGATGTTCGATATACTTGCAGCAGTACCTGGTCGTGAGGATCCCAACGGGATACGTGTTGGGAATTTGATGTGTTGTGGGGTACCATCGGTCGGTGCAGTCACCGGGACCCTTTTGGCGCGGTTGGAATGATGAGGCTTTTGCGTGCATGTTGCGCACTTCTTTCTTCCTTCTCTCCTTCCATCGCTACCACCGCCGTCTCTCTCCAGTCAAGTTTCCTTCTCCCACTCTCTCTCCACCTCTCTCTCAATCTCTCACTCTCGGCCTAACACGGCCGACTACCCAGTGCCCCAAGTAACGCCCAGGACGGGCTTGCTGCACCCCGCGTAATCCAGCTGCAGCCAAAACTCTAGGTGGTACCCGTTCGTCCCGAGCCTGGCAAGCTCACCCCGGCAGAAGTCGGCCTTTCGTGACTTGGTCTCGACACCGCTGCTGAAGGCGTCGATGAACTTCTTGGCCGGCTGCCAGCCCGTCACCAACTGGTTGTTCCTCTCGTAGGTCGAACCCCAACGGTGGTTGGGGGCTTTCGGGGGCGTCGTGTTCGTCGCCTTCCGCCACTGGTCCTGAGCGTTGTGCTGTGTGAGAGGACCGTGTGGAGGGCGCCGGCGAACATGTCGATCTGGCCGCTGTCAATCTGGTTGCCGGCGTTGTTGATAAGGTGGGACATGCAGCGTACGCCCACAGCGAACCGGCAGTCAGTGTGTCACCAGTGCCAGGAGGGCTTTCAAGTTGGGGGAGCATCCGTCCAACATGAAGCCACGGCAGCGCTCGGGCTTCAGCTTGTACTCCATGAACACGACCTTGTGGATTTCGCCGTACATGTCCTGGTAGTCCATGCTGTTGGCCAGCATGCTCAGTCAAAGGAGGCGTTGACATATCTACCCAACCGAACATGAAGACACCCAGGGAGGCAGAGGGCAGAGAGGAAATGGAAAAAAGAAAGGGAAAACGATGAAAGCGATTAGACTATCGGGTGACGTGTGACATATGACGCACAACCTATAACAAAACATGCTCTCTTCCCATGACACACGCTCGCGATCTCGCAATGGACGACGGATGACGGACGATGGACCAGAATTCGGGCAACATGTCGACCATAAAAAAAAAACACTGCGTCCCTGCATGCCTGTATGCCTGTGACAGCTACCCTCTGAACTCTCCTCCCATCTCCCACCTGTCCCGTCTGGTCGATGAACCGAATACCTATGCCGAAGCACTCGCAGCGATACGGGGTTCCGTCGACGCACACCGTGTAGTTGCCGTCGCCAGGTTCTTCCAGTATTATCTTCATCTGAATAGATGGTGTACGAGGGCAGATGTGTGAGGGAGTGGGGGTGGTCGGGCGTCCAAAATACTGCGGGTAACATGTTTTCAACAACGTGCAGCGTGCGACCAGCGTCCAAATTCGGCGGCTCACAACACATTCCACCACCCTCCACCTCTAGCTCCTTCCACTGAAGGTCACATTTTCCTTACCTCTTCTTTCAAGATGGCCGGGATGTGGCTCGCAAGGTGATTCGCTGACGGCAGCTTCACGCCGGCGTAGTGAAGAACGTCCTTCATGGTGGGGTTGTTCGAGGCGTTCAAAGGTACACCAGCTGAGAGGCACCCCTTCTTGAACAGAAGTTGCTGTGTGACTTCTTTCGGGGTGAGGGTGCATCCATAGGCGCCTCCCACCGGAAGCGGAATGTTCCCAGAATACGTTCATGGAGGCCTGCAAAGGAGGACATTCTGTTGATTGGTTTCAAGCCTAGTGCTGCTCGATGAGCACGGCTGACCCGGTTGACAGGAGTGAAGAGATGGTAAAGTCGTTTATTAGGTTGCCCTCGTAGGCAAGGAACAGGAGAGAGTGGGCGCCTCGTGCGCCACAAAGCATCAAGCGACAGTCGCAAGAAATACATCGACGTAAAGACGCATAGACTTTCCGTAACTCGGAACCATTGCAACTACCAAAGACACGTCGGGAGTTACCCCGAGGATCCACGCCTGTGGAACGGTCACCTACGCACTTTCTCCCTCTCAAACCACACATGAGTACTACCGCAGTAGCGTTCGTAAGGATGACATAATGCACCTCACGGACACCCTCCCTGATTCTGTACGTCGTCACGAATGCTGGCAAAAATCAAGTACTCAGGGTACTCATAGAAAAGCAAAGAAAATAAACGAAGGGAAACCCGGCCACTGGATCAAAACCCTCCGCCTCCAAGGTCATCCTGCTGAATGACTTGTCAACGCAAAATCAACATAGCAGTCACCAAATTTGCGAACCTCCGCGTTTACAAATAAATATCAGACATTTGCTACTTCTCTTCAAGTAGCCCTCTCCCAGCAACGAGATCCCTCCTGTATCAAGTTGCTGTTAGTGTGGGGAGAATTGTGCGCAAGAACTGACTCTATTCTACTGCAGGGTTCGGTGAAGTATGGTGAAGGTGTGTATCGAAGTCTGTAACCGTCAGGTGAAGACAGCTTGGACGCCGATGTGTGAAATAATGATCACTCTGTGTTTCTCTACCCGAGCCTCTTGCGTCACATACGCCAACCACAACGTACAACAGCGGTGAGGTCCCGCTAGTACGCCCAACAGGTCATGCGCCTCGCGCGGTAGGGGAACTACGTTGAGTCAACATGCCGCAATCATTGAACCATCTCCAGAGGGGTTATGTGCCGTTCAGCGGGGATCCGGCCCAATTCGAGGGTTGGGTCACGCTTACTCGGTCCCTCATGTCCGAAGCTGGACTGAGTAGGGTCATGTCGGGAGCGGAGATTGCTCCTGCGCCTTTGCCAGCGGGAGCGACCGACACTCAAATCGCGGGACACGAGAAAATTGCCCGAAAGTTCAAGGAAAAGAACGGAAAAGTGTACACGAGACTGCTTCTGGCCACGTCCGATGACCCGGATGGATACTCCAGCCCTGCTTCGCAAGTGGTACAGCAGCATGGGCCAGTCGGTGACGAGGAGTATGGTGATGGACGAGGTGCGTTTGTTGCTCTCCAGCAGAAGTACCGTGTTGAGGGTGTATTTCGCATGCAACATCTCCATGAGGAGCTTACTTCCGTGATGGTCACTGCAGCCGACAAATACGACCCGGCCCGAGCGATTCAACAGTTGCGCCGCATCTGCCTCGAACTGGACAAGTTAGGAGATACAGTTGTGGAAACACGGAAAGCAGGTGCCCTACTACGAGCCCTCCCTAATGGACAGTATGGCTCGTTCAAGAATGTCCTGATGAGCGAAAAGACAATCCTCGGAAGCGATGGTCTCGTATTCGAGGAGATAGCGCGCCGTGCAACTTCGTATCATGCCATGCAAATTCGCGGAGAAATGTCTGACCATGGTGACGGTTCAGGCAGCCACGGCCGTGCGTTGAACACTGTCGCGCACGAAGGAGCACGTGGTCTCCGCAGGCGTGGCGGCCGTGGCGGCCGTGGTGGACGCAGCCGCCGAGGTAATGGCGGCCGAATTGCAGACGGTTCGACCAGTGGAAGTGGGTCGAACGGCAACAACAACAACAACGGAACCTCCGGAGGAGACAGCGCGGGAAATGCGCATGGCGGACGCGGGAATGATCGCAGGAGCCGAAACTCTGGAGGTCGTGGTCGGGCTCAGGATACCGGCCGCAACCGTCAAGGACGTTGCAGATACTGCCGTAACAGCACCGAGCACGGGTGGGACGAATGCCCGCTCCGCCGGAGGCACGAGGCGGAGGACAACAACACAGGACAGGTGCACAACACGCAAGACTCCACCACGCAGGCTTGGTACACGCGGGTGGAGGCGGCGGACGATGAGCTTGAAGATTTCGCCATCGTCTTCGATAACGACAAGCAGGAGCTGAACGCCCCTGCTGTGGCGTTGCCGAGGGAGCGCGCTGCTGCTGGTGACCAGGAGCAAGACGCGGCTGCACCGGCGCTGCCGGACGGAGTCGTAATATATGATCCGCAAGTATGGGAGTGCGCTGCTGGAGATGAGCAGACGCACGATGTGCCCGAGTCGGCGCTGCCGAATGTGCGCGCCACTGACGACCTGCAGGAATTCGCGGAGCCTGCGGCAGCGACGGACCTCGATCTCACTACCCCTCCTGACTCTCCGGCCGAGAAAGTGACAGAGCTGGTAAGGTACACTAGCGTGTTACAAGTGGACAAGGAGTCGAAGGATGTTGGTAATACGACGCTCTACATAGACTCAGCGGCGTCGAGTCATATGGTAGACGCTGAATCCCGCATGTCCAAGCGTGTGTTCGACCCAGTGGACTACGCCGTGCGTATCATCGGGTCGTGCGGAACATCTAGCGCTACCAAGAAAGGCAACCTGAAGTTTGGAATTCGTAGTGAGCAAGGCAACATTGTGACGGTGGCACTGGACGTCCTCCTGGTTCGTAATCTAGGAGCGAATACTCTGTCGGTTGGAGCGTTGGCCGAAACGGGGGTTAAGTGCGATTTAATGTCTATCCCTCCGGCGCTCCGACGCGGCGACCAGGCCTTTCCGATATCAATCGCTGTGCCTCGCATGTACGTGATAAACGTCATCATTGACGATCTCAACATGGACAATGTAGAAGTGTATCGCACCAAGGTCGACGCTCACCTGTGGCACCGGAGGATGGACCACTGCAATCCGCGTGCACTGTAGCAGCTGGCGGAAATGGATACCACTGGAGTAAAGTTCCATCACAACATTGAGTCAGGTGACTGCAGCGTATGCGCGGTCGGGGATAACAAGAAGGGCAGTCACCCTCCATCTGATCACCCCCACTCTGAAACCCGGCTAGAGATTATGTGCGCCGACGTGTGGGGGAAGCACCCCATCAAGTCGTTTGGGGGCTGCCAGAGTACCGTGATGTTCACTGACGTGTTGTCTCGCATGAGGTTCGGCTTCCCAATCACGACAAAAGATGAAACGGCAAAGTCTCTCCACAATTTTGTCCAGGAGGTAGCCGACCCGATCGGGCAAAGCATCGGCACGATGCACTGCGATGGTGCGGGGGAATTCCAGGGCAGATTCCTGGAGCTGTGCAAGTCCCTCGGAATTACGGTCAAAACTAGCGCTCCATACACTCCACAGCAGAACTCCATCGCAGAACGTGGATTTGGCACCATCATCGGAACTACTCACAAACTAATGCTGGGCGCACCGCACCTTCCCAGCGAGCTGTGGGCTGAAGCATTCCAGACCGCCATCTATCTCAAGAATCGCACACCAACCGAAGTCCTGGGCGGCAAATCCCCACTCGAGGTATGGGAGGGTAAGCCGCTAGGAAATCTGCTGCACATTCACGAATGGGGTTCGATGGTCTTCAAACACGAGGAAGCGCGTTTCCGTCCCAACAAGCTTGCGGCCAGGGCCAAGGAGATGTATCTGGTAGGCTATAATACCAAGGGGAGGTCGTACAGACTGTGGGATCCTGCGGAGCCTTCTAAAAAATCACCAACTCTGCCGAAGTATCCTTCCGTGAAAAGGAGATGCGCGACGTGATTAAACCCAAGGTAGGGTGCGATCCGTTTCCTGTGCCAAACACGACAATCTACCAGCCTGGTAAGGCAGAATCTAACGAAGAAGAAACTAACGGCGATAGCGATGAAGAAGAAGACCAAAGTACTGCAGAGTCGACACCATCTGTTCCAGAACCGCCTTCTCTTGCTTGGAGTGTATTACCTCCCCATTACCGAAATCAGACATTATGTCTCAAGGGTTGGATGGTGCATGGAATATTATTGTAGAATAACAAACGTTGGAAAGTAGAAGAACATTTCGATGCAATCAATGAGTACATATTTAGGAGTTGGTTCGAGAGCATGCACTCACGTCGATAGCACATTTGTCGAGAGGACACTGGTATTGTTTCGAGAGGACCTTGAGATTGAGAGAATTTCATGTCTCATGTATCAGAGCTGGAATGACGTAGTTCTTGAGAGGACATGTTGGGAGAATTGTGTGCAAGAACTGACTCTATTCTACTGCAGGGTTTGGTGCAGTATGGTGAAGGTGTGTGTCCAAGTCTGTAACCGTCAGGTGAAGACAGCTTGGACGCCAATGTGTGAAATACTGATCACTCTGTGTTTCTCTACCCGAGCTTCTTGCGTCACATACGCCAACCACAACGTACAACAGCGGTGAGGTCCCGCTAGTACGCCCAACAGTTAGCACCGGGGCGCGCCTACAGCCCCAAGCACCAATGCCAAGTAGCAGCGGAAAAACGAAAGATCTGACTCTACATCGCTCATCACAGCGGAAAACGAAAGAATATCTGACGCTACATCGCTCCCAACTGACGTCTAAAAATGGGCAGGCTACCAAATCGCAGGGAGAAGTGCCCCCCTCTAAACCTGTACATCAGAGGTAGACCAAGCAGCACTCAACCGCAAACAGTTCTTCAGCAAACTTGTTGGTACATCGCCACGGGAGACACTGGTTACAGACATCTTCACTACTCCTTTTCAAGCAGTCCCCTCCCAGCAACAGGATCCCTACTGTATCTTTGCCGTCAGCACTGCGCTCGTCTAAAACCCCGAGCACCGTTGTCGATCCACAACAGAAAAGCGAAAACCAACGCTACGTTGTTGTTGTTGTTGTTGTTGTTGTTGTCGTCACATTCAAAACCGTTCCGATCTCTCTCTACCTAGTACCTTCGTATGCCCGTACTGATACAACACTCGACGCGGTCGATTCCCGTGGTCGCAGGCTAACTTACCCTAAAAAGGTACCCTCAAATAAAATGGCCCCGAGGGGTCCGCAAGTCAATAGCAATCAACGCCAGATATTCTGGAGTCCTCCACTCCCTCTGCGCGCTATGCGAGGTAACAACTGAGACTAGGGGTCACCATCACGGGCCGCATTGTTCTCAACGGAAGGACATACAAGAGGGCAATCAATCACATCGCAGGGAAGGGTGCCCCCCTCGACCTGTGCATCAATGGAAGATCAAGCAGTATCTCGACCAAAAACAGCTCATCAACCCACTTGTTGGTACTGCTACAATGGGAGACACTGGTCGCCATTCATCACGAAAAAACAAGGGGGCGCAGCTTTCTACGTCAACCCTCCCTGACTTCAGAGCAAATATCTCAGCCTCAAACTGTATGGCCAGGATAATAATTCCGACATCATCAATCAAATCAGTGTGACCGCGGCGCCCCGGGTCATCCATACCAAAATGAGACAACAACAGAATGCCACACCACCATCAATATTCATCATGCAAGGACACCTCGTGCATCTACCTGTACGACGAGCTACTGAGATGAGCATGGGGGACCAGACAAGCGACGTCGAGTTTCGTAGGCTGCCTGCGTAACAGCTACAACCACAAGGGGGCAGCAAACAAATCAGAGAAAACAAGACATACACACCCGGAGGAAAATATGGCGTCCAACAATCTGAAACAACAGATGCATCGTCGGGCATTCGGAGGCAGCTTCCCAGAAAGAACAACCGACCGCACACACGCAGGGCAAGAGCAGTTTTGAGAGACAGAAAAAACAACACGCCGAAATATTCAAAGCGCTTCGTACACGACGTCCAACTCTTCTACTTCCGGCCATAGCAACCTCACTCGCCACTTTCGATGCGCATTTTTTCACATGGTGCCCTCTTCCTCCGCACCTATGGCAGACCTGTTGAGGACACTCGTGGGCATAGTGGTTTGCGGTGCAGATGTGGCAGCGGACGGACTTTTTCGTGGCGGCACCACCATCACTCGCTATGCATGCCTGTTCGTCCCCTCCGTTTTTCTTCCTCGACCGTCGTTTCCTCCTAGACCCTTCCCCGACTGCTACGAACGCATGTTGCACTCGCCCGTCAACCTTCCCCTTTGACCCATTGTCCTTCTTCAAGTACCCAGCCCTGGTCCTTAGCACTCTCAACATCTCCTCCTCTTCAGAATCTTCTCGCTGAGCAGTTGTTGCTTTTGGTGTCGTACTCGGAGGAAAGAGCGTCCAGGAATCGGGCGTACACGAGCATCTTGGGGATGGGCTGGCCGAGTGCAAACTCTAGGCTAGTTACGGTAGACTTGAACTGTTGGAAGAAAACTCGAGGATCCTGGTTTCTCTCTTGTCTGGCAGTAAAGAACTTTCCGATAAGCGAAATCTGCTTGCCACCAGCTAGTGGGGTGAACGTCTGCTCAAGTGCACGCCACGCTGCCGAGGGCCCCTTACTATTGTAAACCATCAGCTTGGTAGTCTCGTCTGAAATCGCTCCTACCAACATGCCCCACAATTCCCGGTACACATGAACCTCTTCTGCAGCTACCCCCTGTTCTATCATGCCATCGTCATCCATCCCTTGGATCTCAATGTCTTGGCTATCGTTCAGAGCATGCATCATTCCGCACGTTTGCACCTGCGTCATGAAGTCGTTCTTGAACATTACCCAGTTCTTTTCTAGGCCATCGAAGTTTAGCTGCTTGAGGCGCGGGATCCGGGCCTTCATGGTCGGGTCGTACCTTGCCGGCGGGTCACTGGTTTCGCTTTCGCGCGAGACGTCCCCCGCAGACGGCAGCGTGGGTCCTTGCGGGGCTGTGTCCGGCAGTCCTCGTTCTCCCTCGAGCCCCTGTCCGGTGATCGGCGCTTGGTCCACACGACCAGCGCCGGGAGGGGCGTGCGTTCCCCCCCGTGACTCTCCCCTGCCGCCCGCTGCGGCCATACTTGCGGCAGACGCTGTCTCGGGCACTAACCGAGACAGGGCTTCCATGACGGTCCCTAACTTTTCCGTCATCATGCTCTCCATTTTTGCGGTGGCCTGGTCGATGGCTGTCATGACCTCCTCGTGGGTCGGGGCTGCATCGCCATTGCCGAACTCTCCAGTCGCAGACGACATGTGTCCACTTCACTAGCTTGAACCAATCAACACTCAAGAGTACTACCGCAGTAGCATTCGTAAGGATGACATAATCCACCTCACGGACACATTCGTGAGTGGACAAACGTATTAGACTAGTGTCAACGTGGGCTTGGCTCACTGCATATTTCTTGTGCTTGTTTAATTGTTTAGACTAATCGGCGAAGCGTTGGTGCTCGTCGTCCAAGCATGTACTGGATCATCTTGTTATTTTGTGCGTGTTCGTGATAGTTGCTGCTGTGTGTGTCGACAGAGTGACGTAGAACAACTTGATCGGACAGGTTGCATTACGGGACTGTCTGCGTTGACGATCGTTGAGCAGCCACATATTATCAGAACAGCAAGGGACGTTCTGTGGGAATGTTTTTCGTGGATGGTGCATTACCCCGAGTGTGTTTCTTATGGATAGTGCATCAGTCAGAGGATTTATGGTACGCTGTGGAGTACGTTAGCCACTGTCTGTTGAGTCTTTGTGTTCCGATATTATTGTGTTCTGCTTTTGTGCGTTGGTCGAGCGACACGGGTGGTGGCTGCGGTGCTGCGGTGCTGTGGTGCTCCCCACCCTTGCTCACTTCATTTTTTGACCTGTTCTCCTGGTCCAAGGTCTCAACAATAAAACATCTTTTCCCCAGAAGCCACGAGTTTACCAACACGCTATAGCGTCACCAGTCGACTGCTGCTTGTCCCTTCGGACTGTACGTCAAGACTGAACGGAGGAAGATTGATCACCTTGCTTCGTGATGCCCGGGCCTGCTGGGGATCATGTGGATGACCCATCTCCGGGTGATTCGCAGGATGTTGTTGGTGGTGAGAGATTGGATTCGATTGAGACACAGTTGTCCCAGCTCACGAGCATCATTAAGTCGCTTGTTGGGCAACGAGGTGATCAGGTGGAGTCCTCTGTTTCATTTGCTGCTGCGCCGGGAAGCGGCGGAA